ATTAATCTGTTTCTGCAAGTGTTAGTGAATTAATGGTAAAAAAAAGGGTTAAACGATTTAGAGCGAGAACAATAGAGAAGTTGGGAAGAGCCTCGACCGCCTTTATTGTGAAAGGAGAGAACGGACAGACGCTTGAAAGTATATAGAGAGTTCAGTAAATATATTGATGTTTAATTCGGTCTTCGAGTGTCATGGCGAATGTTTAGTTACAGCTTATAGAATATATGATCGTTTCAAATGCCATTTTTGTGGATCTAATTAAGGAAGTTTTGGCCAGACATTTATTTCGAAACGAGTTAGTAAATATTAGTCGAAATATATTTGGAAAAGTAAAACCATGTAAATATTTTATGGATAATAATTATTGAATGAGATTAATGAGCAGAATTAATGCACAAAACGTAATTCATGTGCACCAATGAAATGAACGACTATTTATATATATATATATATATATATATATATATATATATATATATATATATATAATCCAGTGATTAGATATTTTATTTTTACAGAATAGTGTTCAATGTAAATTTACAGAGCATTAAATATATATATATATATATATATATATATATATATATATATATATATATATATATATATATATATATATATGCAGACGGAGGTTGAAAAAACTGAAAAAATTTAGTTCGGTTGAAAAAACATACATAAGGTGATTTAGGATTTTATTGATTATTAATTTCAACTCTGTAATAATAAATATATTTAACTCTTTTTGTGGATCAGTTTTAATATTTTATATTACAAGGACCCTATATACCTGTAAATGGTTAAAGAAATAACAGAAGAAGTCTTACAGATATACTATATATTAACATGTAAGTACAACAGAAGAGAACTACACGACTAGTGAGTGTGCATCAGTTGACCCAGCGTTCAATCTATTCGACTGTTATATTTAACAGCACCCACCCACGAGGGATGTATGTGGCACAAGGTTAAGTTTACCGTGGTTTCTCCGAGCCCGTAGGTTAGGCCAAAAATATTCGCTTAGAACACGTCTAAACGAGTTCAGGGCCTGTCTACCTCCCCAGAGCCAATTTTGCCCTTCGACAAAGCCTCGGCGGGTTCCTCTCCGCTCAAGGCAGAGAGTTTGACTGATGAACAATCTATTCGACTGTTAATATTTAACAGGCCCCACCCACGAGGGATGTATGTGGCACAAGGCCGAGTTTACCGTGGGTTCTCCGAGCACGCAGGCTCGGCCAAAGTATTCCTTAGAACCAGCATAAACGGGTTCAGGGCCTGGCTACCTCCAGCCTCATCCAGGTTCCTCTCTGCCGAGGCAGGGAGTTCGACAATTGAACAATCTCGTCGTCTGTTAATAATTAACATCCCCCAACGAGGGTGTATGTGGCAAAAGGCCCATTTGTTGTGGGTACTCCGAGCCCGTAGGCTCGGCCAAAAATATTCAACCCGCCTAAATGGGTTCAGGGACTGTCTACCTCGGCAAAGATTCGTCCGAGTTACTCTAGGCCGAGAAAAAGAGTTCGACAGAAATGAACAGTCTGTACGACTGTTCCTCCAATGTCTTCTCTCCTAGTAATCTTATAGTAGTTGGAAGAGCCCAACGTAGCCTCTTTAGAGGAGGATGCACAACAATACCAAAAGATTTATTACTTTTTATATATATATATATATATATATATATATATATATATATATATATATATATATATATATATATATATATATATATATATATATATATATATATATATATGTGTGTGTGTATGTGTGCATATATATATATATATATATATATATATATATATATATATATATATATATATATATATTCAATGTTCTTATATGTATGTGTTTGTGTATGCGTATGTCTGTATGTGTATGTTTACATTTTTATGTTTATGTAATATATGTGTTCGTTTGTGTGATATGTGATAACATGTGGGTTTTATATATATATATATATATATATATATATATATAACTGATTACTGATGGTGGGATAGTGTGTATGTGCGTATGTGTGTGTATGCGTGTATAGGTACAAATAAGTTTACGAATTCCTCGTAGTAAAACAGTATATGTATGGAGGGAAATATACGCACGCATATATACACACATGCTGACGGAACACACCAAAATGGAAACAGATCCAAGAGCACATAGGGGTCACTAAAACATAAAAAAAGATAAAATGCCGATAACCACTCCCTGGACCAACTTTTAACTGTTTTATGACCCTTCGCGCAGAACTCTTCATTGACAATTCTAAAAAGAAATTCGGATTACTAACACACAAACAGAGAATGTCTCATATCGAAAATATTTCACATTAAACATGAAGAAAAATTAATTATTTTTAATAATATGTAGAAATCTCCACTTTTACCTGAAGACGGTCGCTGAGACCAGAAACACGTGTCGTAAAATTATAAAACAAAGCATAATATATTTTTTCTAAATAAATCCACATTACAACCAAAAACGTTTGCGGCACCTATCTTCTCTTCTTTTTAATATACATACTTTTCTCTCGTTGGAACCACTACATTATAATTCTTTTATATATATATGTATATATATATCCATATATGGATTATATATATCAATTTTTAATGACGTACATGCATGTTTCGGTTCACGCGTGGGCATACGTGTGATTAATTGTCTACGGATTTGTATGTTCTTTTGTAAGCAAATGTAAAATGTCAACCGGAATTGCGTCATGATACTCTTTTTCTCACACACTATATTCTGCAGCCGATATAATCAAAAGCAAACAACGCGCATGAGCGAAATTAACAATATCCAATGGTGATAAATTATCTACCCTCGCACCCTATATATATATATATATATATATATATATATATATATATATATATATATATATATATATATATATATATATATATATATATATATATATATAAGCAAATATATGGATATAGATCCGACATTATATTAACATTAAAACATCATAATTGCATATTAGGATTTTTGTTTTTCCGTATATTTTTCTTCATATATATATATATATATATATATATATATTTAGAAAAATGGAAAAATATACTCTCTCTAAATATATATATAATAATGGACTCTCCCGTCTGTTTCGACGTATGAGGATCTGAAAGCTTATTGATTCACTTAAGCGGCATTTAAGACCCGCTAGTAATTTATAAAGGAGGCTACACATGGAGCAAGTGTGATCATTGCGAGATGACATCACTGTTAGATTGGCTGACCTTTTTAGATCTTGCTCTTGCTTCTTGAAGATGATTCAGACAAGCAGATTGAAACTTGAGTTTTTATCGCCCCTTCCCATAATAGGGAAAGCAGTGCAATCCTAAATAGGACTGCTTTGTCATCGATAGAGGACAAGGACGTCAAATATATATATATATATATATATATATATATATATATATATATATATATATATATATAAATGAAAAAGTTTACTCTCTCTCTCTATATATATATATATATATATATATATATATATATATATATATATATATGTGAAAACGTTTACTCTCTCTCTCTCTCTATATATATATATATATATATATATATATATATGCATGTTTCATTAAAAACGACAGACAAGGTACTACGTTTGAGCTTTTTATTTAATTTTTCTTGTGTTCTGAGAAGAGCTTTCTTTTCTGGACAAAGAACTGTCCGAATGTTTTGTATTTCCGAGCGCTTTCGGCTATACCTTTAGCCATTGTCAAGGATGATTCGATTATCAGCTTAGTAGAGTGTGTATGTTCAGTGTGTGGTAGTGATGTTTTTAATTTTCGAATACGGAACACAAGAATAATTAAATAAAAAAGCTGAACCGTAGTACCTTGTCTCTCGTTTTTAATGAAACATGCATAAAGGAAGGATTGCTGCCTAAATATACAAATATATTCATATACATATATATATATATATATATATATATATGGAGAGAGAGAGAGAGAGAGAGAGAAAACAGAGAACCAGGCGGTGATAGAAAAAGTAACTTATGTAGCGTATTATACTGACACGTAAAATTATAGTCGTAAATGTGTGTTTATTCTAGAATTTAAACAGTCGTTCGTGTAAGTGTAAAATCACTTATATTAAATTGAGGTTTGCACGCATTTACACCTGTCTAATATATCTTTTAAAGACAGTATATTTACCTTAGAATCTGTTTAGCCATGCGTTTGCAATAGTTTGCAACAGTTACAATTACAAAATCTCCATTTTAATGCACAATTTGTTATGTGCCTGAATCTACGTATTGGGATGTGGCGGGAAATGAGAACAAACGGCGTTACAACTTGAATACAAAATGAATGCCACTTATCATAATTAACCGACATTAGAAATAATTCTTATAATTATATCGAGAGAAACCATCATAAAACAATTTGCAAAAATGTTATTCTGGAGAAACTTAGCAGAAAATATAAGCAATTCATTTTATACATAATTGTCTTTGTTTATATTCATTCCAAATATCGTAGCATATATTTATCAGGAAAAACAATTTGCAGATATAATCTTATTACTCGAGGCTTCAATATTGTTCCAAATCGACAATATGTCATTCTCGTGAACATGCAGTGAAGTTCACAAACATATTGTTGAGTATATCTCTAAGCATGTTTAGATTGTAAAATCAGGCAATCGATACATATTTTCATGCTGTTGATTAATGTGACTATCACAAGAGCAAGCGCCTGAGCTCTTGTTTTAGGCTTGTACGCCTAGAATGTTTGGAGATGTTTGGAGATTATGTCATTCTCTTAACGTAATATTAAGGTGAAGGGGCCGAGAAATAAGTGAAAACAGTGGGAAGAATACAGAAAGACAGAAAGAAAGACAGAAAGAAAGAAAGAAAGAAAGAAAGAAAGAAAGAAAGAAAGAAAAAGAACTCGAATCCCTGTTAAACTCGATCTCAGATTGTAAAGCAACATTTTACTGGAGACACATAAACACACATTTGCAAAGACAATGAGACTGATAACACTTCTCCGAATTTATCAAATACGAGAAAGCTGTAGAACCATACACCGGTGGGAATTCAGTATGTCCATATATTTCTATTTGTAGCTGTCTGTCAATCTAAATAATATCAATATCTTTCTGACTCTCTTAATATACTGTTATCTATCTATGTATCTATATATCTAACTATATATATATATATATATATATATATATATATATATATTTAAAATATATATATATATATTTATTTAAAAATATTATTTTTATATTTAAATATATATATAATTATTTATTTAAAAATATTATTTTATATTTATATATATATATATTATATATATATTATATATACTTATATATATATATATACTATATATATATATATATATATATATGAATGAAAAATAGTCTTAAGGTGTGCTATATTTATGGGATAAAGTGCTCAATATCAGAGATAGAGCGTGTGTAATATAAAAGTGAACATAGAAGTCAACATAGGAGGCCTCTAAGTCTTGACATCTATGTTTCCAATATATATATATATATATCACTCTTCCCTATCTCTATCTATCTATCTATCTCTCTATCTATCTATCTATCTCCTCTCTTCTGTCTCTCTCTCTCAGTCTCTCTCTCTATATATATATATATATATATATATATATATATATATATATATATATATATATATATATATATATATATATATACATATAAAAAGATAGATTTATATTAGCTACTGATCTTATTAAGAAAAAAACATTAATTTCACAAACTCGATTTAATCGATATGTCTCTTGAAAGTCGTCCGTATCTCTTTATCAAGAAATACTTTTATTACACATCCAAGCATACATATATATATATATACATACATACATACATATATATATATATATATATATATATATATATATATATATATATGTGTGTGTGTGTGTGTGTGTGTGTGTGTGTGTGGTTATTTCATTGAATATAACAGACAAGTTGTTTTCATTTAGTTTTTATAATTTTTCATGTGATCTAAGCACTTTTTTCGGATGATAAGTTATATGATACTATTATATTAAATAGGACAAAAATTATTTACAAATTTAAATGTCCATTAATGATTTTTCCATCTGATCAATAAAAAATCGTAAAAATAATATAGAACATACAACAACATGTTTGACAGGAACACTCCCACTACACCTTTCTGAGCATAGCTCAATTATATCTCATTTGAGTATTCATGGCGACCTACTGGACCTTATTCGTAACATAGTTGTTGAGAACACAAATATAATAGCATCATCTACATTCCAAAAAAGGCTAAAAAAATAATTGGATCCTCATCAACCTCCCAAAAAAAAAAACAGCATTCAAAAATATCAACTATGAACAATATCTTGACCGTGTTTTTGTAAAAAATGAAAACATATATATATCTTATATATATATATATATATATATATATATATATATATATATATATTTAAGAAAATAGGAAAACTGTAATAGTTGCCGATGTGTTTCGTCCGACGTGGACTTTTTCGAGGCGAAACGGAATGAATTTATTAAACAAAGTAACTAATAATAACAAAACAAAATGTCCTTAGCAGATGGAAGGATTTAGAGAACGCTATTTTAATACTGTTAATTGAAATTACGTCAATTACTCTCACATGTGGAGATATTGTTTTTATTGCTGTGTTGACGGATTCAACCATTTTCTTTTGATTTCTTGATACTGTACTGTACGTTTGTTTGGTAGATCCGTAATTCTATTAATATTAAGAAAGGCGTAATAGGAAAAAGCCTGGGCGCAGATTAATATTTGGGTAATATTCAATGGCGGCACTCTCGAGGATTTTCTTTCTGAATGGTTTATTTTCATTTTTATGGAGAAACAAGGAGAAATTTAAAAAAAAAACACACATTCAAGAGCACAAAAGAGACCTCACATAAACAACTTAGCTAATGCACTAGTCAGGCATAGAAATAAATTCAACCACAATTTTGATTTAAAAAAATTCTAGTCTCATAAAAATGGAAAATAACTCATGATAACCTAAGCGTGTATTACGCATGGCACATAACTGATTGAATTACATTTTGCTTATAACCAATAGTAGAAGTAATTTTTACCAAATGAAATATGTACACAATTTTTTCAACTACATTTATGTAAATATTTAACAGATATATATATATATATATATATATATAAAATTAAGCCGAACATATTCAGTAACCATTGATAAAAGATCTAAAGACTTTGTGCAATTCTATTTGTTTGACATTAAAAAATATTAAATGTTATTTCAGCAGGTTTGTAAGAATAGTAAAAAGAAAATATGTAAAAAAAAAGTTGGTACATCCCCTAACACTAAATCAAGTCAATTTGATAAAAAACACACACACACACACATACGCGCGCACACACACACACATAATAATAATAATAATAATAAAATAATTGGTAATCCGAATGGAATTTCTAAGAAGGTATAGATCCGTTGAGAACTCTATATCAAAAGACAGAACAAAAATTATTATATAATGACAAACAAACACTTACAAACAATCGGTGATATTTATTTCATTGAAGTCGATAAGAACAGCTTCAAATTTTTAGAGATGTAAACCAAATGAAAACAAAAAAAAAATTACTCTAGGTTTAAAAATTTAGTATTGAGATTACATATTGAGAGAGTTGGGGGAAGATTGTAAGTTAATATCGTTTAGGAAGCAGTGAAAGGAAATGGTGTGTCGTCTCAGTTGTATTAACTGGTATTAGGACTCGCGGTTACCTAATTTAACATCCTAATTGTAGACATAAATCGTTACATGAAATGGCAATTTAGAATACATTTGAAAAAATATTTTAAGCGTAAAATAGAAATTCTGTCTGTATCCTTCTTCAGTTAAGATATTAACACATATGTATCCAACTTAAAAAAAACCCAAGAAAACTGTTAAAATTTATATTAAAAATAGTGTTTGGTTAGGGATATTAAAAATATTAAAAAAATATTCACATCCTGGCTAAAGATTTCAATTTAAACTTAAAAGATGATCTATTCAAATTAAAAGTATATAAACTTCTTAAAGCACGCATAATAATTATGTAATGCACATGGTTAACATCAATTCAAAATATGAGTTATATACATATGTATATGTATATGTATATCTACACATACTCAGAAATACAATAAATACATAATATACAGATCCATAACAATCTATACTTCATCCAATTATATAGCTATATATTATGAATCTATCAAGTGACAAAATAGCCCGTACTGATATAAAAATAGTATATCATATATATAAAATTTACATATATTCACATATATACACATATATACATAGAATACCATAATGTGTATATATTACATATTAAAAAATTTCATACCCATACATATTCTATACTTATATATATATATATATATATATATATATATATATAAGAAATGGACAAAAGTCAAACAATTTATTTATTAAAGACATTTTTATGTTTAACGTTCTTTTTTATAGAGTAAATATTAAATATAAACAGTATTATATAATAATGTTATTTAATACTGTTTATTATAAACAGAGCATTTACTTAGATACTTGTATCTATAAAAAAGAACGTTAAACATAAAAATGTCTTTAATAAATAAATTGTCGGACTTTGTCCATTTCTTAATATATGACGTCATTTGTTTACATTTGATACGCCAGTGCAGTTATGAATGTACGAGATTCATGGAAGATTGAAGTTTATAAGCAGTAAATCCGACCTTGTCTACCTTTGTGGCCGAGCGGTTAGGCACGTCAGCGTAAATGACGGTCCGTATAGGATGCAGGTTCGAATCCTGTCAAAGGACGAATATTTTCTATGAAAATTTCTCGGACATTCAGGCCGGTAAATGTTATTTAATACTGTTTATTATAAACTTAGATACTTGTATCTATAAAAAAGAACGTTAAACATAAAAATGTCTTTATATATATATGAAATTATTCTGTTTGTGAATATTTATATATATATATATATATGAGAAAGGCTACTGTATGCTAGACGCAATCGGCAGGCCGCCTAGCATTAAACAGCCTGTTGACTTCAATGTTCACTTTTATATTTAAATTTACACACGCTCTATCTCTGATATTTACCTCATAAATATAGCACACCTTAAAACTACACTTCTTATATATATATATATATATATATATATATATATATGTGGGTGTGTGTGTATTTTATTCTTCGATGACTTCCATTTCTTCCACTCCGTTCTACAAAAAAAAAAAAAAAAAAAATCATTATACTTCCACCCTCATATTTAAATGTTGGGATGGTGCTTATTGGGTTGTATTCAGTTCCATTTTTCCTTCATACCTGAGTGCACATATTTCTCTTGAAAAGCTCAATTTTTGTTTCACTTGACGAAAAAACTTTCTCTAAAACAGTATTGCACATGTTTATATATCTATATTGAAGTCTTTCATAGTGATCTAGAATACAGGCCTGTATGTTTAAGTGGTCTCTTCTAGCTTTACTTACTTCAATTCTGTTTTTTTTTTTTTCGAATCGTTCTTTCGAATCAAAAATGGCTGTTTCTTCATTTTCCGGCGTATATATTGTTCAGTCGCCTCGTTTAATTTATGCGAACGACTACTCCTTTCAATATTTTCTGTAGTATCATATTTTTTTCACTTTAGAAAAACAGCCCACCCCCACTGTACACAAAAGCAATTTTCTTGAGCAATTATTCGATACTCTTTACCACCTTTGTGCATCTTTATAATCTTCTGTCGCATATCATTTGGCAATTCTTTTGTTCAGATAGCGAGATAGTCAATGTTGTAACGGGCGTGTTATCACTATCTACCGATTGACTGAAGTGCTTGATTAATACATATATTGAAGACAAACTGTAATTACCTGAACTAAAAGTCAAATCAAAATAACTGAAGATAGTTTTAA